GTAAATATTGTGAGTTGAGACCTTGGGCTGCATTTAATATATTATCTTTATGTACTAGCTTGTATTCTGATTATTTCATCTTGCTAATGCTTTAAGTGAATGTCTTTATGCACACAGGAATTGTTAAATTAGGAGACTGAAACACTATTGAGAGTACACAATATTACATTTTTTTACTATATTATTTGGCAAAGAATTAAGATGCATGTAATCATTATGCAAAATTATACATTCTAATGATCTTGTTATTTATAATTGTAATACTATTACAGATATAATACTCTTGAAGCTTAAATTGTAATAGAGACAAAAATATTGAAACCTAAATATAAGTTTAAAGAACTTGAATCTTGAAAGCTGTAGAAAAGTTATAGACAGTATCCCAATTAATTGCAAAGCCAAAATATATTTATATTTTATAAGCCTAAACTTGAAATGGGTTTAGGCAAAAGATATGGTTACAACTCATTAGTGCTTTACCCTTGTTTGTCCAAAATGTATCAAACATCTATTGTATGCTGACCATGACTCTTCCCACAGAGAATATACGGTCCAATGGGGAAAAGTGACATGTAACCACTCATTTCAACACTCTATCATGAATACTCCCCAAGTACATACAAGGTATATCATATCAGTCCACAGCATGATTATTAGGGACAAAAGAAAAAGGAAAAAAAAAAGTCTGTGTATTCAGCAGGGTTAATTTCTTTCTTATCCCATAGTATAAGCAACAATATATACATACAAAATACCTTATTACAAAATAATGTTGGGGAAATGCTCATGACTGACAGTTGATTTCAAACATAGTTGAGCTAGAGTACTGTTAGCATAGCAGAGCCTATCAATATTTATAATATCTAAAGTACTCTGACCCTTCTGCTGAAAATACTCTGAAATATTTCTATGTAGGAAGGCTTTGGAGTCCTCTATAATTTATAGGAATGTGCTTAGTGAACTCATGCTGATTCTGTTTGCATCTGTCAAGACTAACATGTTGGCATACGGCTCTTCAACATGGCAGGAAGTATGGCTTAATGGAAAGGGCATAGATTTGTGGTAAGGTAGTATGTTAAAATCTTTGATTTTCCAGTTAGACATGTTACTTAACCTCTCCGAGCAAGGCTGTTTTCTTGTTTTCTTGCTTCTAAAACAATGACATACAAAAGAAAAAAAAAAGATATGGTGTATTCTATATATATTCATATACAGAGCATTATGAAGAATACTATGTGTAGTTCATATTGCATACAAGGCTCTCTGGAAAGGGTAAACCCTGATCCCACTTGCTTTCCCTCATCCTCATCCTTTAAATGAATATAAGTGAATTTCTTGGAGTAGGAAAAATATAGCAGTCACAACCTCGGTAGCAGGTAATCTTTTTCCAAGACCCAGATGTCAGCTGAGGTCATGATGTCCTTTGGGGAGTAAATAAAACGAGCTCCAACTCTCTAACTCCTTCATATCTTTTGGGAATCCCAGAGGCTGAACCAGGATTGTGGGACAGACTTCACCTGTGCCCTCAGGACGCCTCTAGAGTGTCTAGGATTTTAGATGCATCTGTCAGTTCTGTCTTCAGGTTCCTGCATCCGCTGGATTCTTGAATCCCATGGGTGTTTCATGCTGCGACCCCTCTTTTTTGCCAGGATGAGCCAGACGAATCACAGAGCCCTTCTTCCCGTTTGATTTCCCCAAACATCACAGGCAGGTCTGTTGGTCTAGCAAACTTGAGTGTAGACCTGGATATCGCAGCAGAGAGAGTTCACGTAACAGCTGTGCAAGTAATGTGAATTGACTTTTCGACCTCGCAATTTCTCACTAGCTGCTTTTCTTCACATAATACAGCCTCACAACACACTGCTTGAAACCCTCTCTTCCTGAAGTTTACCTCCAGCCCTGCTTTTGGGCTCTCTTCTCTAGGTGGTGCTCACCATCCATTCCTAAATTCTCCCCTTTGTTATGCATACTCACTAACTCATCCTCAGATTCTAGCCAAGTTCTACTTTTCTAAAGATGAAGTAAGCCTGAGGAAACCGCCATCTAATCAGGCTCATACTCTCCCCATGCTCTTCACAGTGACTTCCACTGATCACCTTTCTTGGAATCATGGCTTTAACTGCTCCCAAACACTGGCAGAAGCCTTATTAGTTCAGGTTTGGTGTTTTGTTTTTTTTTCCTTAATCAGTCTTTCATGCAGCTCTGGAAGTGGAAGGGAGAATGGAAATGATTTATTTTCTTTCTCATATAAATTATATCCCTCTCTTGAGAGGTCAGGAATAGCTTAATCATTTTTCGTTTTAATAACTTTTTCCCTTTGAGATACAATTCCTTAAACCCAATTTTCCTCATATGAGGGGCTCTTTTGTAGGGGTGGGCAGGGGGAAATCATTGAATTCTTATTAGGCTTTGTTTCTTCATCTGCAAAATTGAAAGATTGGACTAGGTAATCCCCGAGGTTCCTGATTTGTTTGAAATTCTGTAATTCTTTGACCATGATTATTTCGATTTATTTTTTCTTCAATGCTCACACATTGGTTATCAGTTTCCAGTTAATGAAAAACAAATCTGCCATGTTTTTTTTTTCTTATTTTGGAGTGAACTGATGAGTCAAAACTCTAATGTCACTTTTATTTCATTGTACTCTCCCCAGTTAGTTGATTCTCTAAGGAGTGTCAGTTTTAGAATCACAGATGCTTAATTTGAGAACTAAATGCATCACTGTTTATTTGGGAAGCATTAATATTTCTGACCTTTAGCTTTTTAAAAATGTGAAAGAGAACGGTAATGACAACCACCTTATCAAGTCGCTATGAGGAATAAATTAGATTATGTGAAAAGGATTTATAAATTGTAATTCACCATCAATTGTTACTTTATTTGAGAGGAGGGAAGCCTTATAAACTCAGAAAAAAAGAGGAGAGATACGTTCTGTAGCACAGTTTGCACCTTTTAGTGACAGAAGAAAATGATACCAATTGCCACACAACTGATCATTGGTATATTGTACGTTCTTCCTGTCTTAAGCAAACGTTGGCAATGTACCACCTCAAAGGCAGGTGTTGGCTAATTTATTTGACATGTACTGCACAGTGCCAAACTGTCTACTTAAGTAAATGTTTTGATTTTCATTGGCATGGAGCTATCTGGAGAAAAATCACAGATACAGTGATTTCTTTTCACTTTTTGAAAGTCATCCCTATCAAGAAGTGAAGATCCAGATATGATAGAGTTCCCACATTGTTTCTTATTTAATGCATATTTTCATTTGATTCTACAGCTATTGAATTTCACAAAAGTTTAAAGTGAAAAAAACCTGTTTCAAAAATAGCTGCTGGAGGAACAGAATTAAAAAGCCTTGCCTCAATGCAGGATAACATTGCCCAACCCCTGAGTGGTTCCTGTGGTTGACATCCTATTGTGCTGCTCAAAATGATGGTGGTGGGTTCCCTTTTCTCTCCATAAGCCTTTGAATGGCTTTGACCCAAACTTGAGTAGCCATTCACTACTGCATTCTTCCAATAGCCTTGCCTGGTGGAGTTCCCACCCGGTTGCCTCAAGCAATCACTATTTTTGTGCCCAACCCTTTCACCTTCCCTCTAGTCTCTGCTGAAACCATTTGCTCTTTTTCTTCCTTCGGGACTCTAAATTCACCTATTCATACATAGTCAGACACTAAGTTTAATTACTCTTGCTTTCTTTTTCTAACATGTATATCTTAACTTTCTTTTCAGTGATTTCTCTTTTCCTAATAAACATGTTCTATTCTCTCCAATTAAAAAAATAATAATAATAAGACAAAATTAGAAAATACTGTATTTTTTCCTTGGCTTCTCTTCATCTCCCAGGGAGAGTTTTTCGTTTTTCAACTTGTCTCTACCCTTCTTCACATTCTCCATCCTGGATACTTCCCTGAGTCAACTAGCATCGTCCAGGAAGCCAACTATAAGAGAGAACGAAAGGTGCAAGAGATTTGTGGGGGTGGGGAATGTCTGTGATGGAGAAAGGGGAGAGGGAGAAAGAGTAGTTAGGATGAGTTTATAGACTGTGACAAAAGCTTATAACTTTAAAGGGAGAAAATAAAAGAAGAGAGATTGCATAGAAAAAGCATCAGATTGCCTTGCCATTGGAAGAAATCCCAGCCATACCAATGGGGCACCCAGAATAAAGAATGTGCATTAGAGGAGCCGTGGTTCAGGCAGGGCTGGCCCAGCTCTACACCATCACAGGGTAGCATCTGGTTCTCTCCAAGGGAGACAGAGCACCGCACTTCTATGGGCTGTCACAGGTACCACTCACAATGGTGAAGTTACTTTCTTAAAGCTTAAAAAATGACTATCATCTCCTCTTCTCTATATTTGCAACTTTTGATGAGCTACTTCTTATTGATGGGCAAAAATGATGGTTCTGCAGAAGTATGCCCCACCATAAACTCTTCATAAATAATCTCTAAAAGTATTGCAACAGGCTATGGCCTCTATGGCTACATTCATTTGCAAGTTTATGTTCCTTTCACCAGCAGGGTGCAAAATTCTGTGTTCATGACTCCAAAAATTGCCATTCAGCATTAGTTTATAGACATGAAAAAGATATTTTCCAATTTTGAAACCTTAATAGCAATGCTTTACTTAGTGTTAATATTGTTTTTGAGTGCTCAGTGTGTGTCAGACACTGTTCTGGGTGTTTTGTGTGTATGACTTCATTTTATGTGTGTTATCACCCTGTGATGTAGATTCCATTAGTATTGACATTTAACAGAACATGAGACTGAGGCAAAGAGAAGTTAAATAAACCCTCCAAGACCACAGGGCTAGGAAGTGGTGAAACCAGGACTTAGACACAGGCCACTGGCACCCAGAGCCCACACAACTGGCACATTTCCTGTACCAATAGTACTCCGAACACTTTTCTCTGGGAAACAGTTAATTGCAAAAATGTTGATCCAATGTCTGCTTTAAAGCATATGCATTATGTAGCGATATTTTTTTTCTGTCTTTCAGGTCCTTGTATTCCTAATCCATGCCATAATGGAGGAACCTGTGAAATAAGTGAAGCATATCGAGGGGACACATTCATAGGCTATGTTTGTAAATGTCCCCGAGGATTTAACGGGATTCACTGTCAGCACAGTAAGTTTCCCCATGGCCACGGTGCTCTTCCTATTACTGATTGCACAGTATACATGTCACTCTGATTCTCCTGTGTAGTAGGCTAATAGAATCTTTGAGCAGCAGAGAGCCCTGGTGCCACCTCCTTCCACGCACCTCCTCCCCAGCCCGGGACTCCTGGACTGTGTTCAACCCCCTCGTGGCATGGGCGCTGCCAGTCTTCTGCTGCCCTTTTAAATATGGTCCAGCCATACTTGCAAAATGTTGCTTTTTGTATTAGCCAGACACCTGTCTTCTTCTTTCATACTTGTCCTGAAGCTACCTACTTCGAGCTGCCCAGACATAATTCTGTTGATCAGGTTTAGAGATGATACCCAGTAAAGAAAAGAAAGCTGCCCACCCCACCTTATCTGTAAGCCAGCTTCCTCCTTCTTAATATGTTGGCGTTTTTAGCATGGAAGTCTTTGAACATTCAACAAGTGTGTTATTTGCATGTCTTTCTTTTCTCCTCACTTTTATTTACCTTGGGAAGTTAAACAAACATGTCAATGTGTGATGGTTTCTCCCTAGAAGTACGGCTCAGCATGAAGGCCCGATGAGTGATGTGGGTCCTTAACGGCTGCAGGGTCTCAGCCAGCAGAGCGGCCCCTGTGGACTGTAGGCTGTCAGCAAGGCTCTTACAGCTCTCACTGTGAGCTGAGTCTTGTGGGAGGAATAAGATATTGATCAGAGGGAGGAGAACAAGGAAATGGCACATGGTATGGAAGGTGGGGATAGAGGCCTAAATACCAGAGTCGTGGTTAAGACCATGCTGTTAGGAACAAGTAAAGCAAAGCTGGATATGTCAGCCAGAGCGATTTCCAACCACCAGTAAAAAATATAAAGCGCTTCCTGGCTCTGAGACTTTGGGGGCATTTTATACTTTTCCAAATAGGTAGCATCACCAGGAGTCTGGAATTTCTGTAGAAGCCCGTTAGAGTACCAAGGACATTTGTGCTCCTTACAACTGGCACCTAAACTATGCATAGTTGTCCCTAAGAGCTCAGATCAACAACAAAGAACTGAGAGGATACTGATTTTTCTTAGGCTGGGTCCAGTTGCCACAGCTTTCTCCCTTATTGTAGCGTCAGTGTTCAGCCTTCGTATGTGAACACCGCAGCCCCTTCCTGGGAGAACAGATGTGGCAGCCCAACATCTTGGTTGCCTTCCATTTAATTGAACTTTACTTAATCCCATGAAGGGAATATTACTAGCCTTACTTATTTACAAACCTTTGTGATAGTATATCAGAGTAGCGCCCAGAGGGTGACAGTTTGGCCGTCACACTGGAGCTCAATTCAGAGATGCACATAGCAACCCCCAGAGGAACACTGCCCCCCCCAATGCCCCTGCCTGAAGTGAGAACAGAATTTTCATAATGGGATGTTGTCCAGTGTTCATAGGCAGGAACTGCACCTGAGGTCATATTCTAACTTTCCTATGCTGCAGGGCTCCAGGAGGGAGAGGGTGAGAGTATACAAAGGCAGGTTTTTACTGTGAGGAATCCTTAGAAGGACAGTGTTTGGAAGGCATGTGTAGACCCTAACATCACTTAAATATTTCATATTTATTAACCCTCCTACTCTAACCTACTGCTGATATCTGTGTGAAGTTGGGGCTGAAAAACTCTAAGTTCTAACTAATAATATTTGTACAACAACTCAAAATTGTTTTCACGTCTCTGGACCTTGATTTCTTCTTATTGTGAAGAAATGTTTAGTTTCAATTTAATAGCCGAGAAGTTCCATTGGCAACATCAAGTCATTATGTGTTTGTCTTGAGATAAGTGAGGTTGCCCTTGACAGGTGGCATTTGGGAAGTAGCTACCTGCCTCTCACTCCCACTCACTGGTTGGCTATGAATCCTTTCAAGAGAACCATCAGGTTTGGGGAAATAGAACAAGTCATTCTTGTCCCCATTCTCCACGGTGAGACTTCCAAGTCTTTCTCTCATACCTTACACCATACTAAACTGAGCTCATTAATCCACAGAATGGTGTTGAATTTCAAGCCTTATTTTGAAGCACAAAGAAACCCTCCCTTTCACAGCACCTGATCCCTCATAAGAAATTGCAATGGGAAGCCCTAATCTAAGCAGTTCAGTTCAGAACTGGGCTTTTGTGGTTGAAACAAACTGGCCCTATTCTCTCAAGTGCATCACTATTAGAAGCAACATAGAATGGAGGGAAAAGGACTAAATTTGGAATGGGAGACCTAGATTTCAGACCTGACCTTTACAATTATTAGATAAGTGGCCTTGAGTCAGTCACTTGAACTTCCTGCAACTGAAGACATATAAATTGAGGAATTGAATTAGAAATAGATTATCTTTTTTCTTCCCCACACAAGCTAGGAGAGTACTATGACTAAATAGGTAGCTTGCTTTCTGTAGAAAGGTTATCAAGTTTCCTCTTTATAGATGAAATTGAAAAAGATTATATTATACAATGGGAAAGCAGATTTAGAAATGCTGGGAGGCCTGAGAGCTTTTCCAGGTAGGAGAAAACAAAAGCAGCCTTTTTCATCCCTTGCACGAACTGCTAGGTATTAGGTGTGTTTTCACAGTGGTAATAGATGTATTGCCCAGAGGTGCTCTAGAACCTAGCTACTCAAAGTGTGGTGACACATCAGCAATTAGAAATGCCGACTTTCAGGTGCCACCTCAAACCAATTAGATATGAATCTGTATTTCAACAAGATCCCCAGTCGACTTTCACGCACAGGGAAGTTTTGAGAAATACTCCCAAGGCTTTCAGTAGCTAAAACTAATATCTTATAGATTAAGGTAGCAATTTCTGCATTCAGTTACATAATAATATATTACAGGCAAAATATTTATTATGGCTTTTACAAATCAAAACTATTAAAAATCAGCAAAAATGAGAGATGTATGAGTATAATATGAACATTTCATTTAGGAAAAGAATTGAAAAAAAAATCTTCAGATGTGCATAGATGAGGGAGAGGCTTATTAATTTAGTTCAGTGTAACAGAATGTGAATTAAATATCTGTTGGAATATAGCTAAATAGTTAAAGAATTTTAAGTTTCATGATACAGGAGTGACAAATACATAGTTAATAGGTATAGTTTAACCCTTTTGTGAATATGTTACAAATTAGAAAAAATGTCTCCAGTGCCATTAATATTACCTACATATACTTTTTTTTTTAATTAGTGAACTTTAGTTTTTAGAACAGTTTTAGGCTTACAGAAAAATTGAGCAGAGAGTTCCCATATATCTCTCTTCCTAATAGTTTACCTATTATTAACACCTTGCATTAATATATTTGTTATAATTGATAAAACGAAATTAATACATTATTATTAAAGTCAATAGTTTATATTAGGGTTCATGATTTATATTGTGTAGCTCTATAGGTTTTGAAAAATGCATAATATCTTATATCCACCATAGCCTCATGCAGAATAGTTCCACCCAC